CTTGGGTCAAACATTTTGGGTAGCCTTCCACAAGCTTCCCACAATAAGTTGGGTGAATTTTGGCCCATTCCTCCCGACAGAGCTGGTGTAACTGAGTTAGGTTAGTAGGCCTCCTTGCTCGCACACGCTTTTTCAGTTCTGCCCACACATTTTCTATAGGATTGAGGTCAGGGCTTTGTGATGGCCACTCCAATACCTTGACTTTGTTGTCCTTAAGCCATTTTGCCACAACTTTGGAAGTATGCTTGGGGTCATTGCCCATTTGGAAGACCCATTTGCGACCAAGCTTTAACTTCCTGACTGATGTCTTGAGATGTTGCTTCAATATATCCACATAATTGTCCTTCCTCATATTGCCATCTATTTTGTGAAGTGCACCAGTCCCTCCTGCAGCGAAGCACCCTCACAGAATGATGCTGCCACCCCCGTGCTTCACAGTTGGGATGGTGTTCTTCGGCTTGCAAGCCACCCCTTTTTTCCTCCAAACATAACGATGGTCATTATGGGCAAACCGTTCTATTTTGGTTTCATCAGACCAGAGTACATTTCTCCAAAAAGTACGATCTTTGTCCCCATGTGCAGTTGCAAACCGTAGTCTGGCTTTTTTATGGTGGTTTTGGAGCAGTGGCTTCTTCCTTGCTGAGCGGCCTTTCAGGTTATGTCGATATAGGACTCGCTTTACTGTGGATATAGATACTTTTGTACCTGTTTCCTCCAGCATCTTCACAAGGTCCTTTGCTGTTGTTCTGGGATTGATTTGCACTTTTCGCACCAAAGTACGTTAATCTCTAGGAGACAGAACACGTCTCCTTCCTGAGCGGTATGACTGCTGTGTGGTCCCATGGTGTTTATACTTACGTACTATTGTTTGTACAGATGAACGTGGTACCTTCAGGCGTTTGGAAATTGCTCCCAAGGATGAACCAGACTTGTGGAGGTCAAAAACAATTTTTCTGAGGTCTTGGCTGATTTCTTTTGATTTTCCCATGATGTCAATTAAAGAGGCACTGAGTTTGAAGGTAGGCCTTGAAATACATCCACAGGTACACCTCCAATTGACTCAAATTATGTGAATTAGCCTATCAGAAGCTTCTAAAGCCATGACATCATTTTCTGGAATTTTCCAAGCTGTTTAAAGGCACAGTGAACTTAGTGTATGTAAACTTCTGACCCACTGGAATTGTGATACAGTGAATTATAAGTGAAATAATCTGTCTGTAAACAATTGTTGGAAAAATTACTTGTGTCATGCACAAAGTAGATGTCCTAACCGACTTACCAAAACTATAGTTTGTTAACAAGAAATGTGTGGAGTGGTTGAAAAACGAGTTTTAATGACTCCAACCTAAGTGTATGTAAACTTCCGACTTCAACTGTAGATATCATGACTGCAAGCCTAATCTAACGAGGACACTTCTTTAAACTTTTTTTATTTAACCTTAAGATGCAGGGTTTCTTTTAGTTTTTTGGTCGGTTTCTGTTCCTCCTTTGTGAAACGGTCTTGCTTTAAATGGGGAGCCTCTGGTGTGTCTGTTGCCATGACTGCATCTGGACATGCAAAACGTAATAAAAAAATGGGGATGTGAGGTAAAAATAAATGCCATTCGAGTTGTCCACTCGAATCAAATAACCACTCTGGTGGTTGACATCTCCTTTCTCTGAGCCCCTCTTTAAAGCAATATCAGGTGACCTCCTCACCCAGTAGTGGTAACTTTCATGTGCAGGTGAACTATTCATTGGCTGTGAAAAGAAAAGATGACACAGAGAGGCGTAAAGTGTGACATGCAACATGAAATTAAGACTTCGTCTGCATCCCAAATGGCACCCTATTCCCTATGTAGTGCACTACTTTTGACCAGGGCCCATAGGCCAGTAACCGAAAGGTCGCTGGTTCGAATACCCGAGCCGACAAGGTGAAAATCTGTCAATGTGCCCTTGAGTAAGGCCCTTAACCCTAATTTGCTCCAGGGGCGCCGTACTTCTATGGCTGACCCTGTAAAACAACACATTTCACTGCACCTATCCGGTGTATGTGACAATATTATATATTTCTTTTCATGTGATTTATAGAGCTTACATTATCCCTCACTGTAAATCACAGAGTAGCATGTCTGTTCTACACGATATCATTCAATCTGCAGATTCTCCACGTTCCATAACGTTGACACCACTTCAACAGACCCCAAGGCTCTGAAATAACTGTACCAGATACAGCCACGGTGTAGCTCTATCTAATCCGAGGGAGAGACATTCTTAACACAACTTCAGTCTCCAGGGTGCATCCAAATAATTACTCATTCAGCATATGTACAATCACATTTCCATTACTCTGCATATCAAATGAACAGACTGCATTCTGTCACCCAGAAAGTCAGGGTTCTCTTTTCTGTCTCTGTGTGTGTGTTTAAAAAAACATTAAATTACACTCAATCAACATGTATTCAGTGGAGTCCGATGGACAAGTGTGGATGACAAGGACATTCATTTTCAATCGATTGTATCTGTTTTAGCTCTACAGGCTGTATCTATTCCATGGAGAGTAGAGAGATCAATATTTTTGAAATAGATAGAGCTTACAGTAATCTACCGACACCAGCGTGCCAGCGTGCCAGCGTGCCAGCGTGCCAGCGTGCCAGCGTGCCAGCAATAGGATTAATATCAAGGGCTTCTGCTGAACAGGCACCTCTGTCTCTGAAGACTGACATTAGTTATGCCATCACTATACATATTTTAGATTGTTATAAAATAGTGTCCTACAACACACACACAGCAGGAGATTTAGCGCTTAACAGGCCCCTCGGTCTCTTCTGGCTGATTGTTAGTTATGTCCTACAACACCCAGCCTCCAAGTGGCACCCTATTCCCTATGTAGTGCAGTACTTTTGACCAGGGCCCATAGGGTGCCAGTTGGGGTGCAACCACAGTCTCTTGTGACACACTGTTTGTTTCTGGGTCCCCAGGTTAAGTAAGCCAAGGCAACATACAGACACACTGTTTGTTTCTGGGTCCCCAGGTTAAGTAAGCCAAGACAACATACAGACACACTGTTTGTTTCTGGGTCCCCAGGTTAAGTAAGCCAAGACAACATACAGACACACTGTTTGTTTCTGGGTCCCCAGGCTAAGTAAGCCAAGACAACATACAGACACACAGTCAGAGATAGTATAATTTAACTCACAATATTGTATTTCTTTATTCATTATTGAAACCCTGAAGGATGCTATATAGAAAGGCGGTGGAAATGTTTTGTATTCCTCGTCTTCTCCTAGCTCATCAGTCAGACACAGCCAGTTATAACACACCGTGTTGAGGTAACAGGTACCGTAATAAATTATTCATTATTAAAATATTCATATCAATAATACAAAGGTATCAAACATACTTTGATATGATATCATTGATTTCTTCAGACACAAGCTTTTTTTTTTTTTTTTTTTTGTAAAATACTGCCAAAGACACGTCTGCTACTTCATACCCTGGGAAGTGGAACTTCCACTGTAACCTCTTGGTGAAGTACAGCAGGGTCACTCCAGGGTCATGTTTATTAAGCACCAAACGAATGAAAATGGACTGAAACATGGAAGGATTACTTGGACTTGTCCAATAAGAAACGTCCATTTTTTGTTTTCCATTGCAAACTGTTCTGCTACGGTGTGCCCTGCTGAACACGACCCAGGGCTGAGAGTATAGAAGCTGTTCTGTGCAACAGACATGAGACAAACAGATTGGGCTACATGGGATGGACATGGGATGGACATGGGATGGACATGGGCTGGACATGGGCTGGACATGGGCTGGACATGGGATGGACATGGGCTGGACATGGGATGGACATGGGATGGACATGGGATGGACATGGGATGGACATGGGATGGACATGGGATGGACATGGGATGATAAGATCAGTTTTTCTATTATACCTTACCTTTCAACACATGCAGATATGAAACTCAAACTCTATTAAAAGTGCAATGGCACTTCGTTCTTTCAAGAGCCGATTTCTAACCAGATGAACAAGCCAAAATGTTTTTTTGTTTTTGTTTAGTGGTTTAACAGTACAAGCCATGTCATATGTTATGAAATGCTCCCTATTAGAAATCTAACGTCTTGTTGCTTGGAGTGACTTGTCCCCTCAACCTACAAGCCAGATTCCCCATCGACTGATCCCAGACCAGTACTAACAGCCACATCCTCCCACTTTTCTTCAGGACCCCAGGAACCAAAGCCACATCCTCTCACGCCAGAGGCTAGTGCAAATTGAATAAACTTCATAATTATACCCCTTATCGTTTCAGAATTCAACACCATGGAGAACACATAACCACAATGTTGCACTCAAATAATGTGTCCCGAGTCCCCGACCTGACTGACAGTCAGATCATGGGTCCCCAACAACATCTAACTTCACATCTCCCCACCCTGGAGAATACCTTGATGTCCACCCCCACAGAGAGCACCATTGCATCACTGTCTGTAATTCAAAGTCAGTCCATTAGGAGCTCTTCCTGGAGTGCTTTTAACTGACCAATCAGTTGAAGGGAAGGGAAAGGGGGACACCTAGTCAGTTGTACAACAATGCATTCAACTGGAATGTGTCTTCCGCATTTAACCCAACCCCTCTGAAACAGAGAGGTGCGGGGGGCTGCCTTAATTGACGTCCACGTCATCGGTGCCTAGGGAGCAGTTGTTGTTGGGGGTTAACTCCCTTGCTCAAGGGCAGAATGGCAGATTTTTCCACCTTGCCGACTATGGGATTCGAACCAGCGACCTTTCAGTTACTGGCCCATCGCTCTTAACCACTAGGCTACCTGCTATAAGAGCTCCACTTGGGCATGTCTTGGACTTGACCCCCTCAAGTGAGAGGGGTTTTCTATGACACTGTAACAGTCAGTTCCTTCTCTCCCCTAATCCCCCCTTTCTCCTCCAGTTGTTGGTCACTGCCAGTCTGCAGTTCTCTCTAACAACAATGTTACGCAGCGGCAAGAGGGGTGACACCCTCACAAGATGACACAGTGGACTTTGTGAGAACCCGTAGAGCGTTCTCCTCGCCACTTCAGCTTCTTCTTCTTCTTCAGGCTCCTCTCTGGGATCTGCTGCCTGCAAAAGGATAGGAGGATGGAGGAAGGGATAGGGGGGTGGAGGACGGGATAGGGGGATGGGGGATGGAGGACGGGATGGAGGGGGATGGAGGAAGGGATAGGGGGATGGAGGAGGGGGGGGGGGGATGGAGGGGTAATAGGGGGATGGAGGCGGGATAGGGGATGGAGGAAGGGATAGGGGGATGGGGGATGGAGGACGGGATGGGGAGGGGACGGGATGGGGGTGGGATGGAGGACGGATAGGGATGGGGAGGAAATGGGGGTGGAGGACGGGAAGGGGATGGGGATGGAGGACGGATAGGGGAGGGACGGGTGGGGGATGGAGGAGGGGGATGGAGGACGGGATAGGGGGATGGGGATGAGCGGGATAGGGGATGAGGTTGGGGGGGGATGGAGACGGATAGGGATGGAGGACGGGATAGGGAGATGGAGGGGGAGTGGAGGAGGGAGATAGGGGGATGGAGGAAGGGAATGGGGATGGAGGGGGAGGGGATAGGGGATGAGGAGGGATAGGGGGATGGGGGATGGAGGACGGGATAGGGGATGGAGGACGGGATAGGGGGATGGGATGAGGAAGGGATAGGGGGGGGGGTGGGGGACGGGATAGGGGGATGGGAGGACGGGATAGGGGGATGGAGGAAGGATGGGGGATGGAGGAGGGATAGGGGATGGAGAGGATCGGGGATGGATGGAGGGGATGGGGGATGGAGGAACGGATAGGGTGGATGGAGGAAGGGATAGGGGGGTGGGGGGATCGGGGGATGAGGGGATGGAGGACGGGTGGAGGGAGATGGTGGGATGGAGGACGGGATAGGGGGATGGAGGAAGGGATAGGGGGAGGAGGACGGGATAGGGGGTGGAGGACGGGATAGGGGGATGGAGGAAGGGATAGGGGGATGGAGGGGATAGGGGGATGGAGGACGGGATGGGATGAGGACGGATAGGGAGACGGATGGGGTGAGGACGATGAGAGAGAAAGAGAGAGAGAGAGAGAAAGAGAGAGAAAGAGAGAAAGAGAGAGAGAGAGCGGGGGGGAGAGAAAAGAAAAGAAAATGAGGGTATGTACAGGAGAAAACAAGAGAAGAAAGAGATGGAGATTAGGGTTAAAATCAGATGGCCTAGCTATCTAAGCAGCTAGGCTAGAGGGCCTCTGTGTTACTCCTCTAAATGCTTGACAAACAGTTGAGTGGGCCCTCCAGCAGGATATGACCACACTGAACATCAACACATACTGGATTCCTCTGAAATTACACATCTGTTCATTCAGGAAATAGCTACAGTTTTTTCCCCATCCTTTTAACATACTTTTTATGGCATTCATGTCAAACATATAGTTTGCAAAGAGAAACCAAAAGCATCAATTTTCTAAAATCAATTTAATCCAATAATATGTTCTATAAATTCTTAATTCATCATTCTTAAATATAACCTGCAAGTCAGTGAGTATCCCATCTAGTCAGTGAGTATCCCATCTAGTCAGTGAGTATCCCATCTAGAAGTTTGACCTACCTTATAACCCTGACTAGTCCATGGAACGCCTTGTCCACATTCATAGGAGGATCCTTGGCGCTTGTCTCAATGTATGTAATCTGTAAAGAAAAAACACATTGATCAAACAAGGATAGAGGCCAGGAAAGACAACACAGTACACACGTAAACATCAGGATAGTCTCTGGTTTGAAAAGTTCTACAGCTGCACCATCAAGAGCATCCTGACTGGTTGCATCACCGCCTGGTATGGCAACTGCTCGGCCTCCGACCGCAAGGCACTACAGAGGGTAGTGCGTACGGCCCAGTACATCACTGGGGCCAAGCTTCCTGCCATCCATGACCACTATACCAGGCGGTGTCAGAGGAAGGCCCTACATATTGTCAAAAGACTCTAGCCACCCTAGTCATAGACTGTTCTCTCTGCTACCGGACAGCAAGCGGTACCGGAGCGCCAAGTCTAGGTCAAAAAGGCTTAACAGCTTTTACCCCCAAGCCATAAGACTGCTGAACAGCTAATCAAATGGCTACCCAGACTATTTGCATTGACCCTCCCCTTTTTTATGCTGCTGCTACTCACCGTTTACTATCTATGCATAGTCACTTTACCCCTACCTACATGTACATATTACCTCAATTACCTCGACTAACCTGTACCCCCACACATTGACTCAGTACCGGTACCCCCTGTATATAGCCTCATTATTGTTATTTTATTGCTACTTTGTAATAGTTTTACTTTAGTTTATTAAGTAAATATTTTCTTAACTCTTTCTTTCTTAAAACTGCATTGTTGGTTAAGGGCTTGTCAGTAAGTGTTAGATTAATTTGTATTTTAAGAATAATGACTAAAGGATTTCACCCCAAAAACAGTATAAATGTGTGAACGGTGTTAGAGTTATAATGTAGTGGCAACCCACTAACAGAGGGGGGCGGGACTAAACATTCCAGGGTGAAGGGGACTGAGAAAACGGGTTAAAAAAAGCCTCCTAAAGGTGGGCGGAGCAAAGTGCCTTTGTGTGTCAAGGGGTATAAAACAGGAGTGTATGGGTTTTGGCGCCAGAGCTCTCCATGAATAAAAATACAGATAATTCTTGCTGGTTGTGGACTTTGAATCATTTATGATTAAAACCAGAGCCTTACAACCTCTGGTAATGATTCAAGCTTAGGTTGAATTAGAGATAGAAATTCTCGTGACAAGTGGTCCTTCGAGCAGAGCTTAAATACGTCTTTGTCGTTCTAAGGACACCGAAACCGTGCACGGGCGGGTGATTGCATCCGTGGAGAATAGTCCTGGCCTTCGACATTAAGGTTATAAACAGGCCGGTGATTACTCTTATGAACGATAAAGACGTTAACGAGTTTGAAAAAGCATTTAAATCCAAACTGCAAGGAAAAGGTCAGTAATTTTTATTCATGGATTTTGGTGAAATGATTTGAACTTGTATGAGAATAGTAATTCTTGTGGAGGGCAGAGAATAGTTACCAAAATCTCATAAGATAATTAAAAGGGAGGGGGTCTGAAATGACTCAAGGTGAATGGCCATCACCAAAATAAACTAGTTAATATTGAGATTGTACGGGGTACAGTGTTACAATATAAACAGGAAGGGGGATAATTTTCGTCGTGTGCGATAGATACATTAAACAGGTCAAAAGTCGCATAAACAACTGGGGATTTGCTGTAACTCTGTCTGTTTCATGAAACTGGAGCAGTTACGACCTCTAGGTTACGGATAGTGTTAGCAAATGATCGTATAATGTTGTATACGTGTGAGACTTGATGATCCATCGAAATACGTGATCATTGTTTCAAGGAGGGACTGAATTAGATCGCGTGAGAAAAAATGGTTATCTGACCCTTTTCATGAAACCGGAGTTTTAAAAAAAACTCTGGGTTACGGGTTAGATAATTTAAATGGTTAATTACAAAAGCAGATCATAACATTGGCTCAAGAGACGCATTTAATAATAACTCCTAGGAAAATAATTCTGGAATGAATTATTACTAAACGGGGGGATTTCTTATTTTTCCACCATGGGAAATAAATATTCTAAAGAGGTCCGAGAATTAACGGGGGATGAAAGATATATGTTAGGAAGAGATCGAAGAAATATGTTTTATGGATCCATTTGGGAGAAGAGGTATGGATTTATTGGGCATCTCGATGTGGAAAAGTTAGAAGTTATGATTAAGAAGATGCATGTAAACTGTGGAACGGATTTGAAAAAACAGCGAGTGTCACGCCCTGGCTCTGGGGACTCTTATATGTTGAGCCAGGGTGTGTAGGGTCTATGTTTTGTGTTCTATGTTCAGTTTCTAGTTCGTGTGTTTTCTAGGTTGGCCGGGGTGGTTCTCAATCAGAGGCAACGAGAATCAGCTGTTGCTTGTTGTCTCTGATTGGGAACCATACTTAGGCAGCCTGTTGTGCACTTGTGTTTTGTGGGATCTTGTTCCGTGTTGGTTTGTGTTGTTAACTGAGGACTTCACGTTTCGTTTGGTTGTTTTGTATTTTGTATCGTGTTGCCAGTACACTATTAAAAAGATGTACGCATATCACGCTGCGCCTTGGTCTACTCATTATGACGATCGTGACAGAAGATCCCACCAAAACAGGACCAAGCAGCGTTTCCAGGAGCAAACGCCGGGTAAGGAGCTGGAGAGGTTGGCGATGGCCCAGGTGGGCCAATGGTGGTCCTGGGAGGACATGTTCGCGGGTAAAGGGCCATGGGCTAAAGTTAAAGCCCTGGCGAGAGAGGAGGTACGGCGCCAACAGTGTCGTCGTCGGACAGACGAGAGGCACCCCCAATAAATGTTTTGGGGGGGGCACACGGCATGGACGACGGGGCTGCTGGAGGCAGATACAGGGCGAGTTTGTGGACGAGGAGAGAAGGCCACCAGGTTACGGGGGCCATTGGTCGTTAGAGGGAAGGAGAGTGTAGAGGCACGGCGAGAGGTACTGAGGTGTGTTACCAGTCGGTCCGGCCCGTTCCTGATCCCCCACAAGGCCATGGTGTTGTTCCCAGTACGGTCGGTTGTTTGTCCCTCCACCCAAGCCTGTGATGCGGTCGCCAGCCCCGGCCGGCCTTTCCCGCCCCTCGCACCAAGCCCAAAGGTGCGCGTCGCCAGCCCGGCCCCGGGCCCGTTCCTGCCCCCCGCACCCAAGCCAATGGGCGCGTCGCCAGCCCGGGCCCGGCCGGTTCCTGCCCCCCGCACCAACCAAAGTTGGCGTCGCCCGCCCCGGCCCCGGCCGGCCGTTCGCCCCTCGCACCCAAACCAATGGGGCGCGGCCGCCCGGGCCCCCGGCTGTTCCTGCTCCCCCACCCAAACCCTTTGGGCGCGTCGCCCGCCCGGCCGGCCGTCCGTCCCGACCAAGCCTGTGGGGTGTCGCCAGCCCGGTCCGGCCCGTCCCGCTCCCCCACCAAACCTGTGGGTGGGCGCCACCCCGGCCCCCCTGTTTGCCCCCCGCCCAAGCCAAAAGGGGCGCGTGTCAGCCCGGCCGGCCCGTTTCCCGCTCCCCGCACCAAGCCAATGGGGGCGTTGTCGCCGGCCCGGCCCGTTCCTGCCCCTCCACCAAGCCAATGGTGCGGTCGCCACCCCCCCGGCCCGGCCTGTTCCTTCCCCGCCCCCCCAAGCCTATGGTGGCGTCGCCAGCCGGCCGGCCTTTTTCCTGCCCCCGCACCAAGCCAATGGTGCGCGTCGCCAGCCGGCCGGCCTGTTCCTGCTCCCCGCACCAACCAATGGTGCGCGTGCCAGCCCGGCCCGGCCTGTTCCTCCCCCTCGCCCCAAGCCATGGTGCGTCGCCAGCCCGGCCCCGGCCTGTTCCTGCCCCCCCCAACCAAGCCCAATGGTTGCGCATAGCCGGGCCCCGGCCCGCCTGTTCCTGCTCCCCGCACCAAGCCTGGTGCCATCGCAGCCCGGCCCGGGCCCCGTTCCTCCTCCCCGCACCAAGCCAGTGGTGCGCGACGTCCAGCCCGGTCCGGCCTGTTCCTGCTCCCCGCACCAAGCCAGTGGTGCGCGACGTCCAGCCCGGTCCGGCCGTTCCTGCTCCCTCGCACCAAGCCTGTGGTGCGTGTCGCCAGCCCGGTCCGGCCCCTCCCTGATCCCCGCACCAAGGCTGTGGTGCGCGTCGTCAGTCCGGCACAGCCCGTGCCTGTTTCACCGGTGCCTGGTCAGGTACCGGTCAGCTGCTCCACACCGGAGCCTAAGCAATCCGCTCCAACGATGTCCAGTCCAGCTCCAGCCAGCGGGGCCAGACCAGACCAGGGGCGCTACGGGGGGGTTGTTAGAGGGTGGTGGTCACGCCCGGAGCCGGATCCGCCTCCGAGGCGGAATGCCCACCCAGGCCCCTCCCCTGTTGGGTTTATGTTGGCGCGGTCGCAGTCAATCAGAGGCAGCGAGAATCAGCTGTTGCTTGTTGTCTCTGATTGGGAACCATACTTAGGCAGCCTGTTGTGCACTTGTGTTTTGTGGGATCTTGTTCCGTGTTGGTTTGTGTTGTTAACCGAGGACTTCACGTTTCGTTTGGTTGTTTTGTATTTTGTATCGTGTTGCCAGTACACTATTAAAAAGATGTACGCATATCACGCTGCGCCTTGGTCTACTCATTATGACGATCGTGACAGCGAGGGGAGGGGCTAGAGACAGCGAGGGTCTTTTTGAAGCGCGAAGGAGAGAGGAAGTGCTTTAACTGTAACAAAGAGGAATATTTGGCAAGGGAGTGTAAGGCCCCGTGTAAATACTGTAACAGAACAGGTCATAACCATCGTGACTGCAGGGGTAAAGGAAAGGGCAGTGTCGGAGATAGGACAGTCCATTTTTTGGTTCAACGGGTAAAATGTTTGAAGAAATGATTCGTGTCGATTAAGAATTGGCTAAAAACACCACGAAGCGATTATTTGAGAGGTACCTATAAAATTCCAACGATATATACGTATGAACTTTCTCACCCAAACGTAGACGTACGTCATGAGTGAGAAAGTAGAGAATATTTACATTTGCATTTTTGGTCATTTGGCAGACGCTCTGGTCCGGAGCGACTTGCAGGAGCGGTGGGGGTTGGGTGCCTTGCTCGGGGGCACATCGGCAGATTTTTCGCCTGGTCGGCTCGGGAGTTGGAGCCGGCGACCTCTCGGTTGCTGACACGGTGCTCTTGGTTACTGGGCTACCAGCCGGCCGATATGAGTTTAAGGTTGTGCCGTTGTTTGATTAGGTGATAAGGTTATGTGATAAGGTTTAATGGGTAATCGGACCATAACTAAAGTGGTTATAGAAGTAATGTATAAATAGTAGAGAGCCAATAGAGGGTTCCATTGAACTATTATGTTTTGTTGGGCATTTGAATGGCATAAGGTGAAATCTGTGTGTATGAGGGAATTCAAACGGCTGGTATGAATGATAACCGGATACTACTTAGTATTTGGTTGGTTAATGCTGAATGGAAGATTTGAGGCGTGGTTGGGGGGTAACTAGGAAGACGCACTTATTCAATGGGGAATGGGTGTAGGGAGAGAGTTTTTACGTGTATTAAAAGTTGCATTAGATAGCTTTAGTAGTATTCTAGATAGGTCTATGAAAATATGTTACAAATACGAATGACATTATTTCCTAAGAAGGAAGATTTGTAGGGAAGGTCCCCGCGCCTCCCCCATAATGTAGGAAGGAGCAGGAGGGGGGGGGGGGGGGAGAGGTGAGAGACAGTACATAGTTCAGATGGTAGGAATGTCATTAAGTGTATGCTTATCAACGATATCAAGTATTTGTTTTATTGATTGGGGCCGAATCAGAGAGAACGGTTAAAGAGATTGAATGGCGAGCTGGAGTGGTGATAGAGCTGTGAAAATTGAGTTGAGGACAAAGGAGAATAATTTATGGCTCTGGTTGGCGGAAAAAAAAAATGGAGACAGTCCAGCCAGTTAGATTGAGCTGGAAAATGTCAAGTAGAGGTATAAAGACTTTACTGAAAGAAGTGCTTTGATTAATTCAAATGGCATATTATATTATATTATTATTATATTGAATGAAAATAAATGGTGGATTCTAAAAAATTAATAATTTAGTTTCGTTACGTGAACAATGGGATATCATTTTTACTATTAGGATGATGGATTGAAAAAACATTGGTTATAAGTATGAAGTTATTAAACAATAGGTTTACATTTTAAGAACATCAATGCAACAACTTGCAATGAGGAAAGGAATAGTAAATTGGGGAGATAAAGGGGAAAATAACTGAGTTGTATAATAATTTGAGGGAACATTACCATCGACATGCAGACTTCTCCAAAGTACATGAATGTAAACAGGAAGACAGTGAGACCATCAGCCAATACTTAGAGAGACTGAGAAATGTATTTAACGCAAAAAGTGGCATACCTGAGCCTTCCCAGGGGCAGGGAAATGATACTCCGTACCATCAGCAACTAAAAATAGCATTCCTTAGTGGAATGAGACCAGAAATAAGCAGAAATATTAAGAGGACTTTAGTGGGATGGGGAACTACATCGTTAGCCGAGGTCAAGAGATATGCAATCCATCATGAGCAGAATAGTAGACAGGATAGAGTAAGAAAAGAACAGAAGGGAGCAGAGTATTTAATGGCCACTCTAGGGGAAATAGCTGGTAGAGGTAGAACTCCAGAATAGAAGGGGAGAGAGATTTTCCTAGGGGGTGGATCAAATAATTGATAATGGATCATTTGAAATGAGATCACATGTAGCAGATTTAGGGTAATCAATTAAATAATCATTGTATACTCTAGGAATCTTGAGTGGTTTTATGGATTAGTTATGAGGAATTAGATTGATACAAACATTATTGATGGGTTAGGACTGGGGATATCTGTATCATGTTTTGTGTGTACTACCATCTTTAGATTACTGATGGTAATTGAAGGTTAACAAAATGTATAACCAGGAGAAAGAGATTAGCTTATCTCATTGGAATATTGCTCAGGGCGAGGGGGAGCAGTAGTGAAGTTAGGCAGTATTTAGGTCATAAAAGTGAGCTACCAAATTAAGTTGAGCCTGGCTATCTTTGATTGTTGTTTTTCAATTGGGTTTTTCAAATAAAAAACAACACACCCAGCATGATGTTTATAAAGGGTTGTTATGTTGAATTTAGGGGATTTTCAGCAGTTCATGGGTGGTGTTTGCTATGCTGTGGGATGGAATGGTTTGTGATCTTATCTATGGGAAGGCAATGGCAGCCCATGGTAAAATCATTTGGAACTCTGAGGAGGAAGAACAGTTTATGTTGTTGCTCTCTTCCCAAACAGTCTTAGCTTTTCATACATATATCAGGGATGTTACCCAAATGGTAGAGAGTAAAGAGGGTATATGACATTGGTCGTGATTTAAAGATGATGGGTTTTTTTTTGGTGGGCTATTAGATATAACTGGGTTAATCACGAACATAGAGGTTTTTATTCTTTGTTGCTAGGCAGAAGACTTAGGTGACCTAGGGTTGAAGTGCTTGCTCTTACTTCAATCCATGGCTGTCTTTTGTCTCTCTTCAAACATTGTGAAGGGAGCGGCACCAGGGTTAAGCAGAGTTCAGGCTAAAACCTGTCTCTCCTTTGCTATCTTCTTGATTGATTACAGCAGGAGGGGGGGGGGGTTGTGTTAGGTTTGAAATATTTAAATATGGACTTGTCATGTCCAACAATCAGTCTTCAGGTCAAGCCCGGGAGAGCCGGGGTAGAACAGAGTTTGAACTAAACATAAGTGTTTTTACAAGATAAGAGATTGATTGATTGGATTACTAATTGATTCTGAACTGAATGAAAGTCGAATTTAGCCGCCATTAAGACAAAGGAAGTGGGAGGAGCAATAAAGAAGCAAAAGACAGTCTCAAAAATGAAAGGCATGGCAATTGGTTGATAAATTACCTAAGTGATTGTTTAGGTAGGTGGTAATATTGACACATGAGCAGAACTATGTGTCAAGAGGGGGGAAGAGGCTAATGGTAGGATTAAATAATATACGAAGGAGAGGACAAAATACTTTTTTTTTTAAAGAAAGAAAGAAAACATTTTTTTAGATACAGTCTAGAAAGAGAATGCAGTCAGAAATTGTTAGATTAATCTGAACATGTGTGACGATAGTTTATTAACCACACCCGTATGTCAGAGGTTTTGTGCCCCACAGGTGAACTAAAGGAGAAGGTGACCCACTCTATCTAACCAGGTGACTGGTGAGCATCCAGTCCCTAAAGAAGAAAAACTGGAAGCAGGCCTGTTGGGAAGGGCCCTATCAGGTTATATTGGTCACTGCCTTGGCCATTAGAATAGCAGAGAGAGTAACCTGGGTCCATTTTACCCACTGCAAGAGGGTAAGACCACATACAAGCACCACTGAAACACACACAGAGTTGGAGAGAAGAACTGACCCAATAAGGTCTGGGGAACACCTCTGTTAACGAAGATCTCCTACCCCGACCTATCATCACTGTAGTGTGTTCTTAGGGTGTGAGTATGGGGTGGTACCAAGCAGAAGGACTAAAGGCAGGAGAGGGTTGGCGGTTTTTGGGGAATATGGGTGACCCTGAGCTGCATCATAGTCTCGGCAATAGTCTTGGTATGTCAAGATCCACCACCACCTCGCACCAATTACGCTATGGCCTTACCATTATTAAGAAATAAAAGGGAAGCAACCCGACATACTGACCGTCAAGGACGAGTGATCTACAAAATAGGAGTCAGAGAAGGGTGGGGAGTAAGATTCAAAATTAGGATTAGGGATCTTATCAGGACGGATAAGCAAGCAACGTGGGATTATAAGATGCCATTGTATTTATGTTCAGCTCCCTCGGCGGATTGTTCCTGGGCTCAGGTATTTAGACATACTGGGGGACGGAGAGATGAGACGGGGGGGGGGGGGGGGGGGGGGGGGCTGGACGTCCAGATGGAGGATAAGAAGGTATAACGACATCTCCACGGAGATGGTAGTAACAATAGTAAAGGTCACTAAAGAGGACATGAAAATAACTTACTGGGCTTGCGCGGACGAATACGGACGGGATACTTGTCTAAGATTACATTTGATGGAGTCAAAAGATATGGAGGGCACAGGTACTGTCATTAATCCATTAATAGCAATAGACCGAGTAGATCAGTCAAGGGATGACGGAGTCAATTCGACTAACCCGTCCACTATGAAAGATTTTCTCCTCCAAGAATGGAACCAAGGGGAAGTGGAGGGGGTCCCTGATGAGAATCTCTGGTTGAAGTGGATGAAGTACACCGCTAGGGCCTTGGGGGAGACCAATTGTTATGTATGCTCCATTGGGCGACCGACAATGTTGACCGCCCCAATGCCAAAGGCAATGTTTCCCTGTGTATTAGACCTGGGGTCCAATCAAAAAGAGCCCAATTGCACAGGGATTGGGCTGGCAAAGTTGACTTACTCGGCCAGCCCACCTAGATTCACTTTAACTCCTGGCGAATACCAGTGTTGCAGACATAGAAATGGCACCCGTAACTTGGGTGATTTTGATGGCTGTAAGGAGAAAATTAATGTGACTGATTTAGATAAGGAAGGGAGGGGAAAAGTATAACCTTACCATCCCTCTGACTGATGTGTGGTGGGCATGTACTAACAAAGGGAGCATTCGACAGACATTACCAGAAGGATGGGTGGGTACTTGTGGACCAGTATTGTTGGTCCAAATCTGTAAGAATTTCATCAAAGACCAGTGACAAGAAGAATAATCAGGAGGAGGAGAAATATAGGTCAGGAAGGAAATAGCCCAATTTGGATAGATGGTATAGGCATCCCCAGGGGTGTTCCAGACGAATACAAACTATGAATCAAATATGGGAGGGTTTTACCACAACATTTTTCTGGTGGGTGACAATAAACAAGAATGTGGATTGGATAAATTATATCTATTACAACCAACAACGATTTATTAACCAGACTAGAGATGCAGTAAAGGGGATCTTCGAGCAATTATCTGCCATCCCGCTCATAACTTAGTAGAGGTTGGTTTTAGATCAGGCAGAAAGGGCCGGTGTCTATAGAATGATAAGCCATTGTTGCACATTTATCCCTAACAACACCACACTGGATGGGACAGTCACCAGAGCTCTTACAGAATTAACTGCACTAAGTGAAGAATGAGAACTCAGAAGTTAGTACATCGTGGATAGGGTGGTTTGATGAAATGTTTGGTAAATGGAAAACCATAGCAGCCACCATCTTAGGAGCGGTCAGTGTTTATATGGGTATTCTTGTATTATGTGGTTGTTGTCTTGTTCCCTGTGTCCGAGGATTGGTGAGTCAGGCGTTGGTGAAATGCAGTATCTAATCAATGATGAGAGATGGACTGACTCCGGACTCTGACCAGGGGAATGTGAAAAACGATCCTCCAGGTTTGGTGGATGACGAGGATTTGGACCCTGAAAGACCGCAATTGGATGAAATGTTTATTAGTTCTGACGTAATCTCTGAGATTAATCATGCTTGTAAAATACATTTATTCTGAATGTGAAAACATTTAGTCAAAGGGGTGGATTGTTAGATTAATTTGTATTTTAAGAATAATGACTAAAGGATTTCACCCCAAATACAGTATAAATGTGTGAACGGTGTTAGAGTTATAATGTAGTGGCAACCCACTAACAGAGGGGGGCGGGACTAAACATTCCAGGGTGAGGGGAATGAGAAAACGGGTTTAAAAAAAGCCTCCTAAAGGTGGGCGGAGCAAAGTGCCTTTGTGTGTCAAGGGGTATAAAACAGGAGTGTATGGGTTTTGGCGCCAGAGCTCTCCATGAATAAAAATACAGATCATTCTTGCTGGTTGTGGACCTTGAATCATTTATGATTAAAACCAGAGCCTTACAACCTCTGGTAATGATTCAAGCTTAGGTTGAATTAGAGATAGAAATTCTCGTGACAGTAAGCATTTCACGGTAAGGTTGTACACCTGTTGTATTCGGCGCTTGTGACAAATAAAATTGGATTTGATTAGATTTAGCTAGTGCCACAAGGTATAGACAACCAATAGTAATTCTGTCTTTCAGGCCCAGACCCCCATAATAAGGGATGTGAGTTTTGCAAGTAAAAACAAAATGTACTAAGCATATATTTGCCAACAAATACTTTTATGCACATTCTCACACTTGGTGGTGTCCTCTGAAATAGCAGGTTCTAAAACGGTTAAGGCCAAGCTTGGCAGTATTTGTGTTTTCCCCCAACACAGAGCCTCAGTGTGCTGTCTCAGTGTGCTGTCTCTCCCAGATGCCTAAATCACACCCTGTAGCTAACGCTGAGTCTGCATCCCAGCCTGCCCACCACCCAACAACCGCTCTCCCAGCCAGCCCTGCACCCAACAACCTCCCTCCCAGCCTGCCCTGCATCCAACAACTTCTCTCCCAGCCTGCCCTGCATCCAACAACCTCTCTCCCAGCCTGCCCTGCATCCAACAACCTCTCTCCCAGCCTGCCCTGCATCCAACAACCTCTCTCCCAGCCTGCCCTGCATCCAACAACCTCTCTCCCAGCCTGCCCTGCATCCAACAACCTCTCTCCCAGCCTGCCCTGCATCCCAACAACCTCTCTCCCAGCCTGCCCTGCATCCAACAACCTCTCTCCCAGCCTGCCCTGCACCCAACAACCTCTCTCCTAGGTATAGCAACACACACAGCCCATAGAACAACCCCAGTCACAGACAATACCAGTGGGGAAAGGAACTTCTACAAGGTTTTTCTGACCATTTAACCTGACCATGAAAGATTATTGGCCATAACTAGTCAGAAAAAACTATCCAGGAGTCCCTATCAAAAGTACATTAATTAAATTTGGACACTTTATTACACCAACAAGACATTGACAACAAAGGATTTAGACATCAAGCTGTCCCATAACGCTGCCCAACTCCTTGTCGGAGGTGACACTGTACTCACGTTGTGTTTGGCAGCCATTTCCTGCCCCTGGTCGCTAGTGATTTTGCGGAGGTGAACCAAGTCCACCTTATTGGCCACCAGCACCATGGGGAAGGCCTCCCTGAAGGAGAGAATGAAGATGATGGACTGAGGAACAGATGCATCTTATTCAACATAACATGTGTACAGTAACACCACTACACAGCTGACGATCTGACTGAAATCCCACTGGGCAAAAATTGGTTGAATCAACGCTGTTTCCACGTCACTTCAACCCCTCCAAAGAATCTATGTGATGACGTTGAATCAACGTGGAAAACTGATTGGATTTGCAAAAAGTCATCAACTTAAGGGCATTTTGTCGCCCAACTTTGAACCTAAATCTGACATGACATTTTTTGTTGATTTCACGTTGAATTAACTTTAGTTAACTCAACCAAATCTAAATCAAAACTAGACGTTGAACTGACGTCTGCGCCCAGTGAGATGGAAACATTGGCTGAGGAAGGAGTTGTTTGTTGTCATTTTTCGTGAACAAGAGATACAATAGAGAACAGAATGACTGTCTGCTGTATAGATGAACCCTTTACCAGTGAGAGCGTTAGAGGGAAGACAAAACATTACGGCAGACAACCTAGTCGGAGGCACTAAGTGCAGTAGCAGCAGTCCCACGTATGTGTCTGAACCATAAGGCACACATCATACCAAGAGCTGGGCCTCACCTGTCCTTCACCCTGAGGATGAGCTGGTGGAAGCGGTCCACGTGTTCAAAGCTTGCCTTGTCTGTCACAGAGAACACGATGAGGAAGCCATCCCCTGTCCTCATGTACTGCTCCCTCATAGCACTGAACTCCTCTTGGCCTGCCGTGTCCAGCACTGTGCAATTACACACATAGAGGATACCAGTGTCTCAGCCAGGGGTGAAAGTAAGGTGGTACGGTCCGGTACAGCGTCCCGGCAAAATAAATTGTGTGGGTACGCTGTACAGGTAAAACATGAGCCTATCACAATAATTAAAACAAAATATCAAGAAAACTTTAGGCTATTACACCATTATTTATCATTACCACATGTCAGAGGCGTGCACACATAGGAGGTCCCGTACCATCAAGAAATCTACTTTTACACATGGTTACAGCACTGTTTAATAACCTACACAGACACTGTGTAATAACACACACACACATAGACACTGTGTAATAACACACAGACACTGTAATAACACACATAGAAGTACCAATGTTACAGGTTTTACTATATGTTTTTGGGGAATCATCTTCTTGCTTGTTTCCATATGAATGATTGAAAAAGCAACAAGCTATCAATTGCAAAAAATCTAGCTAAAAAACAAATGCACATTATGGGTGTAAATCACAAGGTCTAAATCTGTTGAAACTATTTGGGAATACTGTGCTACAATATGTTTAATTAATATTTTTAACGGAATTAATACACGACCAGCCCCCATAACCCTGAGAGACAGAGGAGAAAATATCTCCCTACCGTCCAGGATGGCCCACTGTCCGTCTATCTCTGTGTGTTTCAGGTAGGAGTCCTCGATGGTGGGGTCGTAGTCAGACACAAAGATCTTCTGAAAGAACTGGATGGTGAGAGCGCTCTTCCCCACCCCTCCGTCCCCCACCACCACCAGCTTGTACGTGGGGAGGTTGTCGCTAGGGACCGCGCTGCTGGTTGCCATGGTGACAGGCAGATGGCTACACCTGGAACAAGGCAGGAGGGGAGGGAGGGAGGGAGGCAGGCAGGCAGGCAGGCAGGCAGGCAGGCAGGCAGGCAGGCAGGGAGGGAGGGAGGGAGGGAAAGAAAGGAGCGCAAGATAGAGTGTTAGACTGCTGCTGCTGGTGCTAATTCATTGCCAGGGAGACCAGACTACACAGAGAACCCTGCATCAAAGACCAGCCCCCTCAGAGAGAAATAATATCAGCTAGCTATCGACACCTCCGTCAATCTCAGCTAGAGGGTCTTGCAGAAAATGCTGTAGTAAAGGATTGGGAATCGATGTGTGTAATGTGCAAGCAACATGTGTCATAATACTGTAATAAACCAAAGAACTGGAGCAGCAGAGCCTAAGATAGAGATTAAGCTACTGACTGAGCTGGAGAAAACACCCTGGTCACTGATTGGCTGTCTGTATAAGGAAGTGCCTTGCACAGCACAGCCAGCCAATCAGTGGTGTAATGGAGAGGCTCTCCTTCCCACTATATAGACTATTCTGTTTTCTCCTTCTTCTGAGACTGCCAGAATAGCATGCAGCACCAACCACTCTCCCAGCACCATTATGGGCAAGGGAAATATGGTCTAGACATGTGGATTACTGTGCTTTGTAATTATGGCTTTCAGAAGAAAAAAAATTAGCTGAAAGAATATACTATATAGCAGCTGTCGTGGTGCATTTTCACTAGCTTCCCACAAAGAAAAAAAACAGATTCAGATTCACTGACCATTTCTGTTTATTTTTCTGTTGCTTGACAACATTTTCCCTCCCACACTTTCTTTAAATGGTTGTTTTTCTCCTGTGACTTAGTAAGGACCTGGTCCTTGAGAAATATGGACATTACAGCACATAAGTGCTCTGTTGTCTTGTGTGTGTGTGTTTGTGTGTGTGTGTGTGTGGGGGGGGGGGGGGGGGGGGCATTCTTTCTTTAACCTTATGCTGTAATGGCAAAAGGCAACAGCTTTCACAAGACATGTCAAGCCACTAAAATAGTGGGTAGAGGACAGACTGTGGGTAGAGACTGTGGGTAGAGCCTGTGGGTAGAGGACAGGCTGTGGGTAAAGGACAGGCTGTGGGTAGAGGACAGGCTGTGGGTAGAGGACAGGCTGTGGGTAGAGGACAGGCTGTGGGTAGAGGACAGGCTGTGGGTAGAGGCTGTGGGTAGAGGACAGGCTGTGTGTAATGGACATGGCATAGATAGGTCACAGCCCAGGATGCGTGATACAGACAGGACCCTTTAAATCAGTTTTATTTTATTTATAGAAAACAACAGAATTGGATGTACCAAGTACACTACTATGTTTAAACCACATCAGGAGACAATTTCTTAGGTCTATTACAATTAAGAAATGTCGATTTGAGTGTAGTTATCCTTTAATGAAAGTGCACACCAGGACGAGATCATTGTTTTATTAAGCATTGCTGTAGTGCTCACGTGATTGCAGAGTTTGCTAAACAAATGGCTACTAGATTGATTCAAATAATTACGATACTGTATCATTCTGCCAGGTAGACATAGGCTACTTTGTAGTTAACATTTAATTGAGAAGGTTTTTGGGAAAGCCTTTCCATCTCTACCAGAAGAAGGTTATCATTAACATCATCGCTAACGGCTACACAGTGTAGATATACGCGTGCACCGCAGACATACACACAGACCTGTGCCGCTTCAGAAAGTTGCAGGAAAATACGAATCACTGATGCATTTTGTTAATGTCTTAATTCACAAATTAATGCATTTTCTAATAAATTCAATAGATTTAGCTGATTTCCTCCTAAGTTCAATACATTTTTGAATATTGTTGAATTCCATTTTAATGTCTGGATTCCGTACTGGTTCTCCGCACCGTGCATACAGCGAGTGGGCAGAGGACAGCCCAGGTTCAGCCCAGGCAGTGGGTAGAGGACAGCCCAGGTTCAGCCCAGGCAGTGGGTAGGGACCATGGCACTGGGTCGCAGGAAACAGCAGTCAGCTGGTGAAAGCCCCGCACCCTTCCTGCTCTACACAATAAAGGGAAGGAAAGAGGCTTCCTTCCACAAGCGACCCAGATAGACCTTCCTTCATCAAGCAACCCAGACAGACCTTCCTTCATCAAGCGACCCAGATAGACCTTCCTTCATCAAGCGACCCAGACAGACCTTCCTTCATCAAGCGACCCAGACAGACCTTCCTTCCTCAAGCGGCCCAGACAGACCTTCCTTCCTCAAGCAACCCAGACCTTCCTTCCTCAAGCGGCCCAGACAGACCTTCCTTCCTCTAGCGTCATCATCATCACTGGTAAATGATGATGACTAAAGTCCTGTTGACTGTACACATGAAGTCACTAGATTCTGGGTTTAAAAAAAGAGGTCACTAGATTATGTGCGCTGAACTGGACAACTGTGTGCTCAGTGTGCTCTGAACTCTAAACCACGTCTGTCTCATTCTTTAATCTGATCAGAACTCATGCATTACATATTTTGCCACTAAAAGACTGACTGACTGTACATGACTTGGTAAAGAGAAGATTATGTGACTGTTGAGATGCCTCTTCATTGAATCAATGTAGGCTTACCTCACCTGGCTGCTGTCAGAGGACTTTATAGGTACATCTAATGTACTGTAGAGCATAGATCCATGTCGCATTTCATAGAGCAATGCCTTGTTAGAGTAATTTGGTTGACACTGCCCAATATACACACCCAACATGCTTCTCAAAATCAAAACAAGAGTTCAAGCTGCTTTGATCAAGTTTAAATTAAACATGCAGTACCTTCAGTGGCATTTCAACTTCTCTGATCAACTGTCAAGTGAAAAGCCTCCACCACCATGCTACTCTTGTTGCTGAATTATCTGGTGATTTCACTAGGCTATTAATAGTCAGATGAATATGTGTAGCCCTATTGAAGGCTGCTCAATGGTGGGTGACCTCATCATATGATGTGGTGCCTGAAGAAATTCTGCAATGGTTTTAATGCATCTATTCATAACATGCCTGGTTGAAATACAGTCTGAGGTATAAACATTGTAACAATGTAGATAAATGTATCAATCAAGTTTGGTCTTGTGACGTTATATCAAGTTATTATATATTTTTTATTTAAAGTAGATTCTACTAATGCTCACTTCCCCCCCTGACATAAAACGTCACAACACTATTTATGTTGTTTTGAAGTCGGGGTGCTGTGTGAATAAGAACCGAGTCGCCGTGCCTGGAAAAGGTTTTTTGTTGCATCTTGAATGTCAAACTCTTTTAGAGAAGTTTGCTGCATCAAGCAATTTCCGCAAATGGAATATTGGCGTCCATTTCTCGAATCCAACAGAGGCCCCACAATGTTACCAAAAAAATGTACTCCAGTTTACGTTGCATAAACCAACTCAACAATTTAAATATTTACCAAAGCAGAGTAAAAACGTGACATGAAAAAGATTTACTAAGAATGTTTAAGCAGCCTACAGTAGCTATATGTAGTTACCTACCCATCGAGGACAATTTCAGCAAATAACTTACCAATATGAGATCCGTTGTCGTGAACGTAGACTACAGCACTTCACGTACAAATATTCCTCATCCCTCTTTCTGTCTGTTACCTCAAAACATTGCCATCATTTTATGACGAGATTGCGCCTGTCATATCCGCGATGCGACGCAATCCGCTATGTAGCAAATCTTTATATTGTAACAGCTGATACTAAAAATAGAACGGTCTCATAGGGGTGGACCCTTCTGTTGGTTACAAATAAGAATCAGACTTTACTCTCTACATTATATAATGACTGCTGTTTAAATTTGGTCTAAATAAACATTTACAAATATGTTTCACAGAAACATATTTTTTCTACAAAATGTAGAAATCCGATTATTCTTTTTAAGAATGCACCTTTTTTGAGAGAGTGGACTGTTCCGTTATGTCGAGGCTCCCCCTGACTGGTTTGAAGCAATGGTTTGAAGAGGTACTTCTGTCTAAATTCTAAGGTGGCGTCTCTGAGTAGCACATTTTGAATTAACATCAATATAGCTTTTGTAATTATTTTATTGACCATGAAACTTGATTAGTGGCAATTACAGTCGCTAGCCTAATTCATTTTATTTATATGGGTCACTGATCACTACATTTATGAATTCTTCCATAATGCATCACATGTTTACTAAATGAAATTGAGAAAGTTAATCAGATGTGAGACTCAGATTATTACATTGATCATGGAACAAATAATAGAGGTATACAAACTAGGGCAAAATATGCATCACTGAGTGTGGAGAAGTTGCAGTGTGGTGTAGTGATGCACTGATGTAATCACAGCAGTGCGTAATTTGTAAATCGAGAGATGCCGGAACAAAAAGTGAGCGCGGGAGCGGGTGACCTGGGGAGTTCTGAGGTTTTGAGGTATTGGAACGCATGAGAAAAACGTGACATAGAGCAGTAGAGTAGAGGCACTTACAGAAGTTGCACACTTGGGGGGGGAAAAAATTGTATTTTAGGGTCCCAGATTAATTTAGCCTTTTATTATCACATTTCATGCAATTCTACATCATTTTACATGACACGTTACTTTGGCAGAATCTTTTTTAATACCAGACAAATAAATGATCGAAATTACAGGCTACTTTGACACTGACAAACTGAGAATCTGAGATAAATAAAAAAACGACCTTGTCTTGAATCCATCAATAGCCTAGGCCTAGGTGTGTGGAGACACAAATATTGTAGGCTACAATATGAGGAGGAAATTATAGTCCTAAAAATGCTTTCCAGTTTCACTGACTCACAATGACACGCAGCTCACTCGCTGGTGATGGCTGATGGGCCAAAAGCCTATCTCTGTTTTGTTTTACTTCATAAAACAATATTTGGAAGTTGATCAAATATTTTAGTAGCCTACAACATAGTCTTCTCTTTTCAGCAGGAGCCATTTGCTTTCCAACCTGTGTTTTCCCTCAATTGTTTTTGAAATATTGCTAAAGGCTTGTTTTGTCTGCATGCTGTTTTTTCACTGACAGATTTGCC